AAACTTATACAAAGTTATGAAAATTGCATGGTCTGTGGCGACTACTGTAGTGTCAGTTCCCGGCTAACCGCGTCCTTTAAACAACATAGTAGGAGACAAGCTGTAGAAAAACCATCATAAAACAACCAAAGCACTCATTCTAGCGAAAAGTAGATATTGAAGGTCAGAAAATACTTGCCGTTGGGTGTAATTTGTTTTTAGCAGAAGTTAGATTTGCTTTTATTATCGCAAAAAGAAATTCCCCGTCCTGAAGCCCTTACCAGCCTGCTGTCAGGCTCAACAGCTGGATAACCTTTTGCTTTGTGAATGACATCCTTTTTTGGCAAAAAGTTATCCTAACCTTTACTAAAGAAGTTCAAATAATCTAAAATAGTTTTCGAGGACAGACTACCACTTGGCTAAACGACGATATTCTCTGAATTTTTGCTGACGCCATTATGCCAACTGCAGAACTTAACAGCGTTTTGGTTGTCACTGCACTGTACAAATTCACGACAGCAGTGCAATAAATCCACTTTTTCGAGTGTAGCAGCAGGAAAGCAAACGGTTTTACGAATCAGAGCCTGTTCCGTTTTCTTAAAAATTAAAAATTTATTTATTCTCAACTTTACCTAGGTGTCCTGCTATATGCTGCTGAGCGGTGGGGCTTGCGCGGCTTCCGCCATACAGAAACCTTTAAAGCAATGCACCGAGAGGCTTCTTAATAAATTTGAAAAACAAAATCATAGAAGCTAATCCGCACTGGCTTGACAACCAATCGTTGTGTTCCTACGTCATCTTTGCACACTACTGTTTGCTCAAATCATGGGTCTAGGTGCAAAGCTTGACAAGACAAGTAGGTGGGAAAACTTCCGTTTCGTAAAGCATCGTTTCATTCTCCTTATTGTTCCATCTCGATTTCAGCAAAAGCTCTCATTTATAAGGCTGCCAAGCTGTAGTTTGGCATCAGAGTGACCCCTTATTTTCAAATGCAGTTGGGGGTCCACATACTTGGTGGATGCTGTCTTTGGATCGCCATATTGGGTAGGATTTGCTATAACATATTAGATAGTAAAAGGTTTCCACATTGTTTTGGAATTAAGAAGATAACTTCTGAATTCTGTTTTAGCATAATGCCGCCTTCGACAGCACTATATAATAGTTGGAAACCGGTTTTTTAGTAGCGAATGGGCAACATGATATGGTCATACTTTTTCTTACAAATGCTATGCCTTTGATAACTGTTCTTGTGGCGAAATATATTGTGTGACAGGTCAAGAGGTGACTCGGCCACAGAAATGTGGCAACGGTGGAAACCCCAGAGGCCTCTGAATAGTAATCCACCGCATAAGACGGAAGCCCTCCCAAACAGCTGGCCATGGCATGTAAGTCGCCGGCAGTAGTATGTGCTTATTTTACAAATTTGAACTCGTGAACTGTGTCTTCGATTAGAAAAAAGTAAGTAGAGCCGTAGGCGCTATGTTGCATGCGTAACGCAAATTGCTGAAAGATAACAAAGAATTGCTTACCAATGGCAAACCGACATAAAGCTAAGGCTGTTAGTTAGTAATGCGAATCCAAAGATAGTTTAAAGCTCAACGGTAATAGACAAAATACTAAGAAGCGTTCAAGAAGCACCGTTGTTTTCAACGCATCCCCAACTTTATAAAAGAGAAAATTCGCCTTTATTGGCATCAACAAATAAAACTATTATTGACAACTGAAATCTGAAATAAGTAATTTTGTGTAACTGCTAAGGATTTGCCTTCTGGTAAAGGCCTTTCCTAATACGCGGGTTCAAATCCCGCCGGACGCCTCGACCTTTTTTTACAATCGGTTCAACTTAGATTTCCCTTTCAGCAAATCCCTTCATATTGATTTTGCAAATTGAATTGCAATGCGCTTCAGCTCGTATTTGAACTACTCACAAACATTCAAAACTTTTCCCTATTCTAAAGCCATGTTCCTGAAGCGTAATTCTGCTTTATGGGCTCGTCCAACAACTTTAAACTACGATATCTACTACATGCATTACCAAATTGATTTAAAAGATTTTATTTGTATGAAGGTGAACGTTTGGTGCATATTGCCAGAGTAATCTAAACATACAAAGTCATTGCTTAACCAAAGACCTTCAGATACTCAAGTCCAATCAATAAATAAAAATAGTCAGACAGACTTTAAATTAAACTACTACCTCCCATTTCTGCAATGACTTTGCATGAGTAAGGTCATCTACTGTAAATGCCGAAGATTCATTTTATTCTGCATAGGTTGGAGTCTACAGTGCTGCCTTGGGTGGCTATCCCTATTGTGGAGGAACCCTTATTGCGCGCAAGTGGGTTTTGACAGCGGCTCACTGCATTTATAACGTCCTTCAATGCCGACCTGTCACGTATGGTCAACTCTTCGACATTTATGCTGTCACGGGATATGACATGGCTGTTAGTGTGGCAGACCATCAATACACTACCGGTGACCGTCCAAGTTACAACATTCGAGTGACAGGCGTCGTTATTCATCCCTATTTTGGCCAAGGAAATAACGGCTTTGAAAGGGCGCTACTGCAATTGGGCCGTGAAGTGAAGCGATGTACGTTTGATCTCAGCATTTCAGGTTTTCTATGGTCTGGAATAAAATGCGATAGTACTTTTATTGTTTATATAGCAGATTTTTTGAAGAAATAAATGTGACTGAACTGCTGTTTTGTATATATAAATATACTTTTTCGAAAACATGAACGAATAAATTGGTTTATTCTACGTGCTTAGAAGCAAATTGTGCCCTCTTCAATTCTTATACCAGAAGAAGGAGTATCCCTTAGTTTCAAAAACCTATCTAATCATATTGTGTTACCACAATCAAGTAGGTCTTCACCTTATCCCTAACTGTGTCAAAATCTCTGATCAAGTATAAAACATAGGCCACAAAAATTGGCAAATTGAAAGAGGGGTACCTTACCTCGACTTCAAACCGTAGGGGAATCTGTAATTGCCCTTGGAAACATATAATTTGACTTGAACAATTGGAATTCCTTTTGTTTAAATAGTTTTTTTCTCGTGACCTCTTTCTTTCACCACACTTAAATAGTTGCTTGCATAATACACAATGGCGTCCACATAAATTACAAATTTGATCACAAATATTCGACGTTGTCCTCATACCGTAGATGAATCTGTACTTTTCTCTGGAAACAGATAACTATGTTGGATAAATGAAGTAAGTTGCATTCCGAGATGTTATGTTGAAAAAAAAGAAGATATTCGGAAAATCGAGTTGTATTCGTGAATTTTAGAACAGGCATAAATTGTTAGTCGTCAGAGCAAATGAAAAGTGAGGGCTGAGAATGTCACACTAGAGGTATTGGGAGCAGAGGTTACAACGAACGGGGTGGGATTGGGTGGTAGGGTTATGGTGATGTGACTCCTGCGGCGATAGGTTGTGCTGGTGAGGGGAGGAAGGTGTTAACTTTTGGATTGTGGGCGGGGGAGGGGGTTCAGAGTCAGTGAAATTCTACTTGACTGAGCAGGGACAGCCTGCTGCTGTTTCAGGCTGGGCCTGATTTTCGCATATGGTCGAGTAATGTGGGCCCAGCCTGAAACAACAGCAGGCTGTCCCTGCTCGGACAAGTAAAATTTCACTGACTCTGATCCAGCCCCACCGCCCCTTCCCCGAACACGTGGCCCACAGTCCAAACGTTAACACCCCCATCCCCTCACCAGCACAACATATTGCCGCAGGAGTCACGTCACCAAAAC